GAGTTGGCGGTGAGTGGTGATGACTAGCTGCCTTCCCTCTAGTCTTACACTGCTAAACTAGGGACGATTAGCCCTCGTGTAGCTTTGCGCGAAATTCAAAACAAGCAAACAATCTAGAAGGAACGATAATATTATATTTTGATAACGAGGCTCTGGCATGCAAGCTGAGAAACACCAACCAAAGATGTAACTTTAATCCTTCCTGTACGACTTTATTCATTTTTTTTCAATGCGAACTCGGTGAAAACAAGTAGACAGTTCGAGAAAATCACGCCAACGTGTCTAATGGGAGTGAAGAAAGGTGGAGATTCTCCACACCCATTAGCTGTCCGTTCTGGCCACCCTGTTAAGCCTTGTAAATTATTTTTCGAACCAATGCGCCACCTGTGTAGGCCTCTAAGCAACTTGTCGAAGGTGAATGTGCTACCTGCTATTCAAAGGGATGATACGGATCACCTTATATAGTTTGTGTTGTTGAGTTATAGACAGGGCGTTGTTTCTACTACCATATCGACAGAGGTTCAGAGTTTTTCTAACTAACAGTTAGATTATGACGGCTAAGATTGTACTTTTAAGGACCACGTGTAGGCAGAATAAGATTTAGAGGTGAGTTGAAACTCATACCGCTGTGATGCTACGTAATGGGTAAGTTAGACGCGTCCGTTTGGAATATGTCGGGTTCGATTCCCCTCGATGGACACAGCAGATAGTCCGATATGGCTTTGTTGTAAGAAAACACACACACACACAAACAAACATTATCATTTAACCCCCCAGCGGTATATCTGCGGAGTTAGAACGCTAGAAACCGGGTTTCGATACCCGTGGTGGGCAGAGCACAGATAGCCTTTTGTGTAGCTTTGTTCTTCGTTCGTTATGTGTTTTAAAGGTTTGTATGTAAACCGAGATGACTGAACTAAATCTTAAAATTATAAAGATAGGCTTTGAATCTCAAACACACGCTATGGGCTCAGGTATCGCAAGTGCTACCAGTACCTAACAATTCTTTTCAAGTGTACATATAAAAATAGCTTCTAAATCTTTAAGGCTCCTCTCTCTGTTTCTCTCGGACACTAACTTTTTAACGTAAAGAGCACAATAAAAAATGTCTAGCAGGTCTTGTCCGATCTAAGTTTTATTTTAAAAATGGTGAAAAATGCCAGAGTTATAATTATATTCACTCTGTAAAGAACTTGAGTTAGTGACGTTGAAGGGACTCGGTGATAGAAATTATTTAGTTTGAAAACTTGCTATTAACAAGTAGCTTGTAAAATTCTTGTGTCAAAAGTTCTTTTGGAAAAAAAAAAAATGTGTTAAACCAGAATTGTTTTTTTTTTTGGTATATTTTACCTATTTGGAGTTATTACTTATCCATGATCAATCTCGAGAGCTACAGCCTTAATGAAGAATCATGTTTTATGTACATTTCCAAAGGACCATCTATCAAGTAGTGTGTTCTGGATACTCGTATTTACCAGCTTTCTCAATGCTTCTAACCCGTTTCCATAGCAACCGCATGGATCCCGGTGCTTCGTTTCCTCTTCACTGCATTTAACAGTTGTATACATAAATCAACTCAAATACTACGCCGTCATTTTCCAAAATATCTCTACAGTGTTTAAATTTGATTAAAATATATGTAGATATATATATATACGGTAGCGCCCTCTATCAAAAATAACTGTAAATTATGTCCTATTATATTTATTTGAAAAATAGCCACAATGTCTATCAAACATTAATTATATTGATAAAGAAATTTCGTATTTTATTATAATAATTTTGTATTCGTCCTTAAAACATTTAATTTCCAAACCTCTAGAAAAGACTGAGGAAACGATAGTTATAAACATTCATACAGTATTTTTAATTTTGAGTAAAACCTATCCAGTTGATTCTAGAAAGCAAACAAAACACTTGTTACTTTTTTTTTATAGTCCTCCAATCCGGTGGCTCATTGGTTAGTCTGAGGTCTTACAACGCTAAAAATTTGGTTTCAATTCCCGCGGTAGGCAGAGCACAGACAGCTTAACAAGTAAACAAGCACAAAAAATATTTGCACATCGGACAAATATTTTTCAACGGTGTCCAAAAAATAATTTGCTCCCTCTATGAATTGGTAACAGTACTATCGGATTGTGTGCTTTGGTGCGTGCATGGGATGATGACTGTGTTTTATTTACTTCTTAAAGTATCATCTTGCTATGTTTATTAATTTTTGATGGCTTGTTAAGATGGCTTCAGGTGACGTCATATCCGCATCTTCTACTTCCGTCTTGTTATCTTTGTTAATCTGTGTTAGGTTGTTAAAATACATTCAAGCTTTACCTTCAAGTTTAAAAGTTTCAAAAGCTTAAGTTACTTCATTCTTTGTCCCCAGTGGGTCAGTGGTAAGTTTACGAACTTACAACGATTTCCGTGTTGGACAGAAAGAGTAGTTTTGCACTGAAAACAAACTTAATCTCTTATTAATTTCCTGGAGAAGTTTTATGGGCTTACAGCTTTTCAATCTTCACATCCAAGTTTAATAACTTACGGATTTTCATTATCATCAGGCCGGTTCAAATAGTTTATTAAAATACATTGACTCTTTTAAGTAATTTACGATTTGTTTGTATATTTTACCACAAAGCCACTTTGAGCTATCCATCGAAGGAAATCGAACCCCGGATCTTAACATTGTATGTCCCAGATGAGTTACTCAAGTTCTTACCCATGGAATCTCTCTCCATTTATCTTAATACTCATCCCTTTTGTGAAGACTTATAACGCTGAAAATCGGGTTTCGATTCCTGCGTTGGGCACAGCATCAATAGCCCAACAAAAAGCAAGCCCAACGGAAGACAAGTAGGTTATGTGACTTAACTAGAGTGTTAAAAAAATAAATCAAAGAAATTGTGGAATTTTTGTATTTACTTTAAATTAGCGCGTGCAAATTTAATCTATATTATTCCGTAAATGTTTTAAATTTTCTGAAATTATATTTCAATAGTTGCCAATGATGACGCCACTTTCGCCACATCAAATTTAACTTAATGTTGTTGTTGTTTTAAGATTTATAAGGTAGGTAAATTAATGTTAATACACCGACTTTTACTTACGTTAAAATACTTTTCTTTTATTTGCGAGCTTCTGGCCTTCTTATCAGATCCTTCATCGGGCAACAATGTAATGAGTATTGTTGCCCGATGAAGGCTCTGGTAAGAGGGTAGAAAGCTCGCAAAAAAAAGAAAAATATTTTAACTAGAGAAAAGTTAACTTAGTGTTACAAGAAACCTATTTAATTTTACAGTTGAAGAAGTGATTTTTGTTTTGTTTGCGAGCTTTGACCTTCTTATCAGATCCTTCATCGGGCAACAATGTAATGAGTATTGTTGCCCGATGAAGGCTCTTGTAAGAGGATCGAAAACTCGCAAGCAAAAGAAAAGTATTTTGTTACAACAAACCTGTTTAATTTTAGAATTGAAGAACTGATTTTTGTTGTTCTTTTTTTTTTTCATTTGGTTGTAGCTTTATTATCAGGAACTCTTCGCACTTTCCAAGTCCACGCTTGCGATGGAAACGAGCTAAAGATTGAGTGTTTTCCCAACACTGTCATTAGCATCAACCTAGTCCAGTATGGGAGGCCGGTTCCTTCCTTCCAACTCTGCCCACCGGAAACACTTGGCGACACCTATATCCCGCGGAACGACTCGAATATCTGTCTCTCTCCAGAAGCACTTCGGGTGAGCATGGTTTTTTGTCCCCCCCCCCTCCTTATAGAGAGTTTAAGTTGCATTGAGATAATATTGAAAATAGTTCCAGCGCATTGTACTCTTGCTCCCTCTGTTGTCTGAATGATGTATCAACAATAGGTACCATATACAATTTATCTTCTGGTTTTCTTTTTTTTTCTGTTTTATAGTTTTCTTAACACGACGAATAAAATTTGCAAATAAAGTTTACATTGATGGTAAAGCTTCTTATTTAAAAAAAAATGGTTTTAGTTATTAAATCAATCACGTGTAACTTTTGAAATTGATTTGTCACAACCGTGTAACATTCCTTAATTAAATTATTTTTCACATGATTTGATTCGTTAATGCGCAGACGAAATTTTGTTAGCTGAACTCTAATTGGACGATCTATTTATAGCTTTAGTCGACACATTGTGGAAATCTGCTTATAATCGATTGAATACTAAAAAAAAAAAAAAAATACATATACGTTTTGGTTTCTTTTTTTGTGCACCTCATTCATATTATGTTTGAAAAGTAGAAAGCCCCCTGGTAGCTCAGCGATAACTTTGAGGGCTTATAACGCTTAGAATTGGGTTTCCGATTTCGGCGGTGGGCACCGCACCGATAACCCGTTGTATATCTTTGTGCTTTAAGACAAAGAAATGAAGCTTAAAAAAATATATATTATAAAACACTCTGTATGTTGTTGTTGTTTTGGGGGGGGGGGGGCTCAACGTCAGTCTGCCAACAAAAACATTAATTCTGATATTCCTGCTATAAACAATGTAAAATTAAAGTGATTATAGTAGAAACATCAAGACTTTAACATTTCATTCCTGATATTCCTGCTATAAACAATGTAAAGTTAAAGTGATTATAGTAGAAACATCAAGACTTTAACATTTCAATCCTGATATTCCTGCTATAAACAATGTAAAATTAAAGTGATTATAGTAGAAACATCAAGACTTTAACATTTCAATCCTGATATTGCTGCTATACATAAACAACTACTTGAGTAACTTTTCTGCCTGCTTAGTCAATGACATATTTAAGAACAAAAGTTTTGGTAGTTTCTTCCTGTCGTGTGAACCAAGCAGTATATTTTACACTCCAAACTGACGTTTTTTCTAACCCTAACAGTTTTTCATTATTTTAGTTCCGAGAAATCTCGTCAGGCTGATTAAAGTAATAGTAAAAGTAAACACTTTATCGTCCATATTTCTTGGTTTTTTTTTATATTTAAAAACAAAATTACACAATGAACTGCTCACTGCAGGTATCAAAACCCGATTTTTAGCGTTAGAAACTCCAAGAGCCACCTGGAGGCTACTGTTCATATATATATATATATTTATATATCAATATATTAATTACCTAAACCATTTATTTGCTAAAATCCTTATGCTTTTTGCTGTAAGGGATAGTTAATCGTTTTTTTCCTAATTATACATAAATATTCTAACTTTTATTTAATGCCTAAATCGACATCTTTATCATTCGTAATCCAAAGACGTAACCTGAAAACTCAGAGCTTCTAGGCCTTCAAGATTTTCCACTTATTCTTGAACTTCTTTAAGATTACGAGACGTAACTCATTATCCATCTGAATTCTAGGCATTCGACATCAGTAGTTTCGTTTGAATATATTTTTTTGTCCGTCGATTCAATTCTTTATTGTCAGTTTGTGACTAACTTTTTAAGTGTACGCTAAAACTCGGAATAAGGATATAGTTCCAATACCCTCTGAGACTCTAAGCAACTAACATAATACTTACTTGTTTGGAGATATACTGGCTTTTAGCGAACTTCCGAACTAAGGAGGCTGGCTCTTCAGAGGTAAAGGAACTGCGATGTTCGATGTATGGACAGAAAATATCCACTATTATACCAGAAAAATGTTTGAAATTCAAATAAGAAAATACAGAACTTCGTACAGAATTCTAAATATTCCTTTCATGCAGAGCCAAAGTTCCTGCAGTTCAGTCATTGCATTTCTCTCCCAGTGCAGATAGGTTTAGTTCGTCCAAACCGTTTCTCTCCCAATACAGATAGATTTAGTTCGTCCAAACCGTTTCTCTCCCAGTGCAGATAGGTTTAGTTCGTCCAAACCGTTTCTATCCCAGTAAAGATAGGTTTAGTTCATCCAAACCGTTTCTCTCCCAGTACAGATAGGTTTAGTTCATCCAAACCGTTTCTCTCCCAATACAGATAGGTTTAGTTCATCCAAACCGTTTCTCTCCCAGTACAGATAGGTTTAGTTCATCCAAACCGTTTCTCTCCCAGTACAGATAGGTTTAGTTCGTCCAAACCGTTTCTCTCCCAATACAGATAGGTTTAGTTCATCCAAACCAGCAATTAGTATTATTCTAGTGGTCAAACCCAAAGGAATGACCAGAAACAAAGTAAAGGTCAAGTCGAATTCCTACCAGCAATTAGTATTATTCTAGTGGTCAAACCCAAAGGAATGACCAGAAACAAAGTAAAGGTCAAGTCTTATTCCTACCAGCAATTAGTATTATTCTAGTGGTCTGAAGAGAGAAATAGCTGAACTAAATCTATCTGTACTGGGAGAGAAACGGTTTGGATGAACTAAACCTATCTTTACTGGGATAGAAATGGCTTGGATGAACTAAACCTATCTTTACTGGAATAGAAACGGTAGGAATACGACTTGACCTTTACTTTGTTTCTGGTCATTCCTTTGGGTTAGACCACTAGAATAATACTAATTGCTGATAAGAAGAAGAACTGACCTTTATTTTGTTTCTGGTGATCCCTCTGGGTTAGATTGGTTTTGGAGAAAAACACTTCTTAGAAAGTCCTTTTCTGTTCAGTCGAGCTGTGACCATATAAGGAAAGGATATGTCTGATGTTTTGTACAGAATATATTGTACTGTATTTTTTATTTTCATTGGTGGACCGCGTCTGCTGGAGTGTATTGTTTAAAATGTTTAGGTCTGAAACGTAAAACGAAAGGGACGAGCAGAGAACTGCAACAAAAAATATAATTTCACCCATTCCTAGCGTTTTACTGGGTTTCTATGGTAACTTGAGTTCACACAATTGTAGCTAGACTTTCTTAATTGCACATCACGTGCATTTTTACTATATTGTTATCTGTGTGAAATGTCATTTACTCACACATCACGTATCTGTGTGAAATGTCATTTACCCACATCACGTAAATGTTTACTGTATTATCTGTGTGAAATGTGATTTACTTACACATCACGTAAATGTTTTACTATACTGTTATCTGTGTGAAATGTGATTTGCTCATACATCATATATATGTTTACTATATTGTTATCTGTGTGAAATGTGATTTACTCACACATCATATATATGTTTACTATACTGTTATCTGTGTGAAATGTGATTTACTCATACATCATATATATTTTTACTATATTGTTATCTGTGTGAAATGTCATTTACTCACACATCACGTATCTGTGTGAAATGTGATTTACTCACACATCATATATATGTTTACTATATTGTTATCTGTGTGAAATGTCATTTACTCACACATCACGTATCTGTGTGAAATGTCATTTACCCACATCACGTAAATGTTTACTGTATTATCTGTGTGAAATGTGATTTACTTACACATCACGTAAATGTTTTACTATACTGTTATCTGTGTGAAATGTGATTTACTCACACATCATATATGTGTTTACTATATTGTTATCTGTGTGAAATGTGATTTACTCACACATCACATATGTGTTTACTATATTGTTATCTGTGTGAAATGTGATTTACTCATACATCATATATATGTTTACTATATTGTTATCTGTGTGAAATGTGATTTACTCACACATCATATATGTGTTTACTATATTGTTATCTGTGTGAAATGTGATTTACTCACACATCATATATATGTTTACTATATTGTTATCTGTGTGAAATGCCATTTATAATGAGTGAGCTAAACTATTTCTGAGTTCAAAGCACTGAAAGAAATTTAAATGCATCTTGTTCATTGACTCATATGCCCTCTACTGGTACACTGGAAACTTTCCAGCTGGAAAAGTTGCTATTTATATTGTTGCTACTGCAGCCAACTCAAAAAGTAACCAGAAGGTGGCAGTACTTTTTGTTTTATACACTTCTTTTAAATAAACAATAGGGCGGGTTTTCAACGCTAGATAAAAATATCTGGGTAATGAAAGACTTGTACTTGGTTTATGTAACACATAGAACCACCATTCAAATAATCCATCGAATTGTTCACGATATTCAAGGTCACTTTTTATGGAAGCTGAGATTTTAAGTATTTGCAGAAAGCAGCTCAAATTCACGCACAAAACGCATAAAAGACTAAAAATAACAAACACAACTCTGGCAAACTTTTATTGATAGTGAACACCCTAAGTTTCAAAACTTTAAACAGTGACAAGCACGTGAGAATAACATAAGGATATATTAGGCCTAACCTTTTATTGTTTAACACTTGCATTGATAGTCTTAGTAAAGTGTTGGCTAAAGAACCATAATGGCTCAGTTTAAAAGATAATCTGTCACTTAAAGAGACTCGATTCAATCTGTATTAATTTATAACAATAAAACTTCTGAAAGCATCTACTCAAAACCAATTATCCTAAAACACTAAATCTGATCGTCTGTTAGGCTTAAAGCATTCACAAACCTTATCTAACTCTATATAACATGATTATAGTATTTTGGCACGTGTGTATAAAGATAGGC